AAGGCGAGACCCGTATTTTGAAAACCACGCGCCCTCCATCCGTGACGCTCTTGTAAACTTTCAGAACGAATGCGCGCGGCGCTGAGGCGAACGCCACATGTTGAGGGACAGCCGCCCTCCATCCGTGAAGCTCTTGCAAACTTGGAAGACGAATCTGCACGGTGCTGATGCGAGAGCCACATTGAAAACCACCTACCCTCCATCCGAAAACCTTTGTGTGACGAATGTGCGCGGTGCTGAGGCGAGATCACCATTTCGAAAAAGGAGCCGCCCTCCATCCGGCAAGCGCTGCGAATCAACGTTACTGTTGCGTCCTGGCGATCCTGAATCGTGCCAGAAAACCGTTCCTGGGATTTCAACACAGCAAATGAACGTAATCGCTTCGCCCTGACAGTCCTACATCGTGCCCACACACTTTTTGTGACGTCAACCATCAGAACCCTGGAACCTGATGTAAGCTCTTAAGACGACATCGGGACATCGCAATTCAGCACGGCGCAGCGCAGCACAGCCCTTGGCACGGTACATCAAGGTCAATTCATTCAGCATTGTAATCTGACCTGTTCCTTGGCACGTCCCGTGGCGCGTCCCGTGGCGAGTCCCCCTAGCACGTCGCGCGGCGCGTCCCCTGGCACGTCCCGTGGCACGTACTTTGGCACGTTCCGTGGCGCGTCCCCTTGGTACGTCCCGCGGTGCGTCCCCATGGCACGTCCCCTGGCACGTCCCTTGGGACGTTCCGCGGCGCGTCCTCCTGTCATGTCCCCCTGCCAACTAGCTCTGGGAAACGATTATGTGCTCAGGCAGCTCGAGCTTCAGATCTAGATCAGTTCGGTCAGGACTCGGATGCAATGGAGGACTCGATCCACAACGCTATAGAGCACACTCGCGGCATGGCACATCGCAACTCAGCACGGCGCAGCACAGCACAGCCCTCGGCATGTCACATCAAGATCGATACATTCAGCATTGCATTTGCCAGTCGCCCAATCAGGTGTTTTTGAACACGTTGCCTTGCCTTACATTGTTACATTTCTATACCCCTTTCCGGATTCGTGGGTCGATCATGTGTTCACGTGTCCACGTCGCCCCGGGAGTATCTAACATTGTGGTCCCTAGCTGTGGCCCCGAGCTAGGACCACGTGGTTCCACGCGTTCAGGCCACCCATGTGGATATCTAACATGGTGGTCCCGAGCTGGAACCAAGTGTTTTCACATCCAGGCCACCCAGGGTGGTATGTAACATTGTTGCACCTCGCTGGAACCACGTGCTTTCACGTGTCCAGGCCACCCAGAGGGGGTTCTGACATGGTGGTCCCGAGCAGGAGCCATATGTTTTGACGCTTCCAGGCCACCCAGTGTGGTATCAAACATGTTGGCCCCGAGCTGGAACAACGTGTTTTAACGTGTCCAGGTCACCGGAGGTGGGTATCTAACATGCTGGTCCCGAGTTGGCACCACGTTTTCTTACGTATCTGGACCACACAGGGGGTACTAACAGGTAACATTGTTGTTCCAGGCTGTAACCACGTGTTTTCACCTGTCCAGGCCTCCCAGAAGGGGGCATCTAGCATGGTTTCCCCGAGCTGGAACCATGCGTTTTCACGTGTTCAAGCCACCCAGGGGTCATCTGACACGGTGTTCGCGAGTTGGAACCACTTCCCACACAGGAGTGTATCTAACAGGATGGTCCCGAGCTAGCCACGCGTAGGTCCTCTGGCACGCCGCCTCGGACGTTCCCTGGCAAGTTCCGTGGCGCGTGCCCCTTGCACGTCGCGCGGCGCGTCCCCTGGCGCGTCCATTGGCACGTTTCGTGGCGCGTCCTGCTGGCACGTCGCAGGTCCCTTTGAGCGTTCCGCACGGCACGGCACGGCACGCACGTCGCACGGTTCATGAGGTCTCGATTGCAATCAGCTCTGGGCGAGCCATGCGCCCAGCCAGCTCGAGCTTGAGGCCCAGCTCAGTTCTGTCAAGATTCGGATGCCAGGCAAGCTTCGATCCACGACGCAGCAGAGCACAGAACTGTTCAGTTCAGATTCTCTCCCTTTCGGTTGGTCCCGCGTTTCAGTTCTGGAGCTCGAGCTGGTCGAGCGCCCCGCGCGTTCCGATGTGGCCAGATTTGAGTTATGTGTTCAGGCAGCCTGGGCTTAAGTCGGATATTGGAACCTATACATTACCAGTGGCGGGCTGTTTTTCAATCCCAGGATCTTTTGAGGGTCGAGGACGACGTCGGGGTGGTGTGGTGTATACTAGTTTCTCCGTTTTCTCGGGGAAACAACGAAAAATGTATACACCAAGATCCCGTATACACCAGGATCCGCTTTATTGTTTGCAAGTTTCAGAGCAGGCCTGGAACACGCGTCGGTGTATAGAGTTCGGTTCCCTATAAAGATCCAGATCAGTTCGACCAGGGTTCGGACGGTAATGGCGACCTGTAGAGCGCAGCACTTCAACGCAGCATGGCGCGTCTCAGCTCATCACAGCACAGCACATAACAGCCCCTGACACTGTACATCATCATCGCTACCATGAGCATTACAATTGCCCGTCGCCCAAATTGGGTGTCTTGGGTAATGTTCATACTTCAGATGTCAATATCCCTTTCCGGGTCCTTGAGTCGATCATTTTTTAGTGTTTTGTGTTTTTTTTTCCGGAAAGGGCTGGGGCCCAGGGTTCTCTTCTAGCTGTTTCCCAACGGCCTCGATTTGCGTACGGTCGCGTAGGGCTGGCGATTTCAGAATTTGAGGATGTCTGAGGCGAAACGCATGATTTACGTAAGTTTGTTGAAGATGTCTCAGCCGAAACTGTGTTTTGTTTCAGATTTGGGGGATTTCTCGAGCAGGGGCCTTTTGGGATGCTAGAATCCAGAGTTCAGCGGATGTCTAAGGCGAGATGCTTGTTTCCACGTGCCCAGGTCGCCCAGGGGGGTATCGAACATGGTTGTTCCTAGATGGAACCACGTGTTCTCACGTGTCCAGGCCACCCAGAGGGTTACCTAAGATGGTTGTCTCTTGCCCCTCGCTGAAACCACGTGTTTTCACGTTTCCAGGCCACCCAGGGGAGTGTCTACGCAGCGTAATTTACGATGGATCGTGGCCTTGGGAGCGCGGGCGCAGCGTGACTTACGAGGGATCGTGGCCCTGGGGGGCGGCAGCGTAATTTGTTAGGGATCCTGCCCTTGGGGGTGCGGACACAACGTGATCGACGATGTGGCGCGGACGCAGCGAAACTTACAAGAGATCGTGGCCCTGAGAGCGCGAACCCAGCTTAATTTACGAGGGATCGTGGCCCTCGCAGCGCGAACCCAGTGTAATTTACGAGGGACCGTTACCCTGGAGCGTGAATAATGTGTAATGTTCGATGATTCGTTGCCCTGGGAGCGCGAATTCAATCTACTTTTCGAGGGACCGTGGCCTTGAGAGCGTGACTCCCGCGTAATTGACGAGGGATCGCGGCTCTGGGAGCGCGGGCGCCGCGTGATTTACGATGGATCGCTGTCTTGGGAGCGCGAACGCAGCGTTCCCCGGCACGTCCCCTGAAACGTTCGCTGGCACGTTCCGTTGCGCGTCCCCATGGCACGTTTCGTGACGCGTCCCGCGGCGCGTCCCCCTGGCACATCGCGCGGCGAGTCCCTAGGCACGTCCCCTGGCACGTCCACTGTCCCCTGGCATGTCACTGTGCGGCGCGGCACAGCGCAGAGAAGCACAACGCAGCCCTAGGCACAGTAGCATCAACATTGATACCTGGCACGTTCCCTGGCGCCTGCCCTGGGCATGTCGCGCGACGCGTCCCGTGGCACGTCCCCTGGCACATCCCCTGGCACGTTCCCTGGCACGTCCGCTGGCACGTCCGCTGGCACGTGCCGTGGCGCGTCCCCCTGGCACGTCCCGCGGCGCGTCCCCCTGGCACATCGCGCGGCGCGTTGGCACGCCCCCTGGCACGTCCACTGGCACGTTCAGTGGCGCGTCCCCTGGCACGCCACCGCGCGGCGCGACACAGCGCAGAGCAGTACAACGCAGTCCCTGGCACAGCGTCGTCACCATTGATATCTTCAGCATTGCCATTGCCCATCGCCCAATCGAGGTGCTTGGAAACGTTTCCATTCCTCTTCCTCGCAGTTCTAACTCCCTTTCTGGGTTCGTGGATCGCTCAGGTTCTTCCATGTAGTTTTCTCCCTCGACGCATGTTCTTGCATTCAATTCGGAGATCCTGGAAGGGAAGGGGCTCAGGGTGACGAATACCCGCAGCCTGGCAAAGCAGGCCGCCCACGCTAGAACTGCCACATGAGTAATCTCGAAGGCGTCTCGAAAGTCTGTGACGGGAGTTTCCCAGAGGCTTATCTGGACATTTTGCCTTTTTTGGCCCCCCTGGACCCTTTCCTGGCGGGGCCCTAGGAACTGGGTCGGACCAGAGACGACCAAGGAGGCCCCCTCCCCCTCCTCTCCCCTGCATGCGTTTTCAGGAGGGCGGAGGAGGAGGGCGGATGAGGGGCTGGAGCGGGGCGGGGCGCCGAGGGGATGCTGGGCTAGGGAGCTGGGGCCGACGGGGGCGGGCCCCCCCCCAGCGAGGGCCCGTCGGCCGCAATACCGACCACGGGTGCAACGCGCCTCTGGCGAGCGGGCTTTCAGCAGGGTGCATTTCGGTCCGACTGATCTGGTTCGATATGGCCGCTTCTCGAAAATTTGATCGATTGGATTCGGGATGTCGTGGTCGTCATCTCGGCGGAACGTGTTTGCTTTGGCCATATCTGGTGCCCTGGAGGGTCCCCCAACCCTCGCGTTCCCCGCCTTCGACGATCCGTTGCGGCCCGACGCCAGATTCGACTCTGTGTTGATGCAGCTCGATCCGATGCACGTTCCGATCCGATCCGATTTGTCGGTTCGACGCTGATTGATCTAAGTGTCTCCTGCGCGAGGGCCCTCCCCCCTTGCTGGCGGCAGCCCTCGTGGCCGCTCTTGGACGGGGACGGCGAGCGTTTGAGGGTGACCCGCGTGTGTCCCGAGGACCTGATCGTGCGTCTGATGGAGGAGGCGAACGAGGAGGCCGAGCACAAAGGCTGGTGCGACACCGAGCTCAGCACGAACAAGCAGACCCGCGAGGAAAAGACCTCCGCCGTGGAGACGCTCCACGCGGAGATCGACGAGCTCGAGGCGGGCTCCCTCTTTGTTTTGCCTCCTGCGTCCTGCCTCCCTCCCCTCCTGCCTCCTCCCCTTCTTCCTCCTCCTTCCTCCCGGCCCCCCCCGTCCCCCCGCCAGGAGGAGGGGTAGTGGGCAGGAGGTCGGCCCTCCGCAACCTCCTCTCCTGTTCCTGCTGCCTGCCCCTCCTCGCCCGCGGTCGCCTGGGCTCATGCCTCGCTGCCTGCGCGCCAGACCATTTCACAAGTGTACTCAAGACGACTACTACTCTCCTCTCTCACCTGAAGTTGTCCGGAGTATCTCCCGCCCTCATTCGCGTATTGTTTTTTGTCCCAGAGCGGGCTGGGCCCAGGATTTCCTTGAGTGGGTTAACCCCCCTTGCGTAGGGTCGGCGACTTTGTCCTGCTTTGAATACCTAGGTCGCCAGGGGCCGTCGAATTAAGATTCCTCTCGCTTCGCGGGGTGCACGTCCGGAGCACGTACAGTCACGTCGTCGCGGAGCCTCTTGGGAGCCTCTCGGGGGCCTCCTGGAGGCCTCCTGGGAGCTTCCTTGGGCCTCTTGGGGACTTCTGTGGGCCTCTCCCCCCTCCCTCCTCTTCATACTCCCTCCCCATATTTCCTTCCAGCGCCGGCTCTAATCATGGGTGCCGCTGCGACCAACTTCCACCTGGCTGGCGCTGCGCCGCAGTTCGCCCAGGTTGGAAAAATGGCATTGCACTCCAGTCGCTGTATGGCTTTTGGGGGGCTTCTTTGGAGCCTTTGGAAGGCTTCTTGAAGACCTCTTGGAGGCCTCTTGGGGGTTTTTTGGGGCTCCTTGGGGACCTCTTGGGGGCCTCTTGGGGCCTCTTGGGGGCGTCTTTGGCGGTTTTGGCGCGCTTTTGCGCCGTTTCGCCCCTTCGGATGCCGTTTTTGGGGCCTCTCGCGGCCGCCTTGGGGCCGTCTTGGGGTGCTCCTGGGCCGTCATAGGGGCCTCTTGGACCGTCTTGGGGGCCTCTTTGGGCCGTCTTGGGGTTCTGTTGGGCCGTCTCGGGGCCCTTTTGGGGGATTCTTGGGTCGTGCTGGAGCGATTTGCGAAGCTGCTTGGGCCGCAAAGGTGAGAACGCTAAAATAGTGCCCGAACCATAGGAAAATCAATGATTTTGACCTCTGGAGGCGCAGTTGTGGGCGCTCTTGGGGCCTTCTTGGGCTGTCATTGTGGTTTTTTGGGCCCTCTTGGGGCCATCTCGGACCGTCTCGGGGCCGTCTTGGCCCGCACAGAGCCCATCTTGAACCGTCTTGGCGCCCTCTCGGCCCCCCAAGAGGCCCAAGAGGTCGAAATCATCGATGTTCTAAAAGTTTTGGTAGGTTTTTGAGCCCCAGGAAGGGGGGGGGCACTTTGGTCCGGCGGTGTGGCGCAGCTCCCAGGGGGGGTTAGGGGGAAACATAATAATATAACACAATACAACATGTGGCAAGTGTATGCAATCATTGGATAAATTGGATACGTTGCAGTAAGGCGTTCGCCGAAAAACGCTCCCGCTCAGCACGTCACAGCGCCGGCTCTAATCATGGGCGCCGCAGTGACCAGCTTCCACCTGGCTGGCGCTGCGCCGCAGTTCGCCCAGAGGGGGGAAAATAACATTACACTCCAGTCGCTGTGTGGCCTTTGGAAGGCTTTTGGGGGGCCTTTTGGAGGCTTCTGGGAGGCTTCTTGGAGGTTTTTTCGAGGTCTCTTGGGGCCTCTTGGGGGCGTCTTCGGCCGTCTGGGGGCGCTTTTGCGCCGTTTCGCCCCTTCGGAGGCTGTCTTGGGGGCCTCTCGCGGCCGCATTGGAGCCCTCTTGGGGTCCTCTTGGGCCGACTTCGCGGCCTCTTGGACCGTCTTGGGAGCCTCTTTGGGCCGTTTTGGGGCCCTCCTGGGCCGTCTTGGGGCCCTCTTGGGTGTTTTTTTGGGCTGCTCTGGGGCGATTCTGGAAGCTGCTTGGGCCGTCATTGATTTTTGAGAGTCGAAAAAGGCGAGAACGCTAAAAGATTGCAGAAACCATTTGAAAATAATGATTTCGGCCTCTGGAGGCGCAGTTGTAGGCGCTTTTGGGGCCCTCTTGGGCCGTCCTTGGAGCTTTTGAGGCCGTCTTGGGGCCGTCTTGGGGGCTTCATGGGTCCCCGTCGGGAATATCTTGGGCCGTCTTAGGGCAGTCTTGGGCCGTCTTGGGGCCATCTTGGGCCATCTTGAGGCCCTCGAGGAGCCCCCAGAGGCCCAAGAGGCCGAATGTGTTGATTTTCGCTGGTTTTTGTAAGTTTTTAGGGCCCCAGAAGGGGGGCGTCACTTTGGTCCGGCGGTGTGGCGCAGCTCCCAAGGGGGTTAAGGGGGGGAGACATAATAATGTAACACAATACAACATGTGGCAAATATGCAATCATTTGATAAATTGGATACGTTGCAGTAAGGCGTTCGCCGAAAAACGCTGCCGCTCAGCACGTCACCTCCAGACGTGGATTCTCGGGCTTACGCCGCACCGCCGACCCCTTGGGGGTGTAGTAGATGCCCTCCGGTGGGGGCCTTGTGTCAGCCTTGTGGGGGTTCTAGTGGGAGTTCCTGTGGTCTTCTTGGGGCCGAGGGCTCGGAGTGTCCGGTCGGGTTCTTTAACTGGTTTTCTTTGGAGTTGGTCTTGGGCGCTTCTGTGGGCGTCGTGGAGGTCGCAGCTGCCGTCGTGGGACCGTCGTGGAGGCCTTGCGGGTCCTGTACGAGCGTCAGGAAGTTCAAAGTGCGAGATTTTCCCCAAACCGCGCACAATGCCCACATAGCCCTGGGTTTGTCGTTGGTCGGGTAGAGCAGGGGGTGTATATCCAGAAGGAGTGCTGACACAGGTTCCATTGACAACGCCGCAGTCGGTCTCCTTCATTCGCACCCGATCTCCCATCGTCCATCCTCATTGTGAATTCATAACTTCCCAGCTCAACTGGTGCGTGAATTATGCTTGTATTTGTATCGAAGACGCCTACGGCGAATCACCGCCGCCCCCTGCCTTTTTGGAAGCGCCTATGTGGCCGAACGTTGAGGCCAGACCTACCAAGCTATCGGACCATGTGTTCCCCGAATCGGTTTGGAAAGCCTTCGGGGAACACGTGGGCATCTTGAAAGTCATCTTGGCCGTCTGGAAACCATTTTGACCCTTTCGGGTCTTCTTGGAGGACGTCTTGGAGGGCTCTTGGGCCGCCTTGAGGCCATCTTGAGCGTCTCGGAGACCCCTTGGGCCGTCTTGGGGGCCTCTTGGGGCCGTGTCTTGCGCCTGTTGGGCGATCTTTGGGGGCACTTGGGCCGTCTCGTGCCGTCGGAAGGCCGAACAAAAAACAAATACCACAATCCTTCAACAACCCGTGGGAAATCAATGCTTTTGGCCTCTTCGGGCCTTCCTGGAGGCCCTCTTGGAGGCCTCCTGGGCCGTCTTGGCCCATCTCAGGGCCATGTTCGGCCGTTTTGGTGGGCTCCTGGTCCGTCTGACGCCGTCGGAAGCCGTTTGGGGGGCCTCTATGGGCCGACGTGGGGCCCTCTTGGAATGCTCCAGGGCCGTCTTGGAGGCCATCTTGGGCGTCTTAAAGGCCTCCTGTGCCGTCGTGGGGGCCTCTTGGGGCCGTCTTGGGGCCCTCTTGGGCCGTTCTGGGGCCATCTTGGAGGCCTCTTGGGCGATCTTTCGGCGATCTTTGGGGGCCCTTGGGCCGTCTCGGGCCGTCGGAAGGCCGAAAAAAACGAATGTCAAAATCTGTCAAACATTATAAAACATGAAGGTTTGGGGCCTCTTCTGGCCTTCCTGGAGGCCCTCTTGGGGGCCTCTTGGGCCGTCTTGGGCCAGCTTCGAGCCAACTTCGGCCATTTTGGTGGGTTCTTGGCACGTCTGACGCCGTCGGGAGCCGTCTTGGGGGCCTTTCTGGGCCGACTTGGGGCCCTCTTGGGGCGCTTCGGGGCCGTCTTGGAGGCCATCTCGGGCGTCTTGGAGGCCATCGTGGGCGTCTCGGAGGCCTCTTGGGCCGTTTTCGGGCCCTCTTGGGGCCGTCGTGGGAGCCTCTTGGGCCGTCATGGGGCCATCTTGGAGGCCTCTTGGGCGATCTTGGGGGCCTCTTGGGCCGTCTTGGGCCGTCGGAAAGCCGAAAAGGCGCAAATGCCACAATCTTTCAAAAGCCCAACGGATTTCAACGATTTTGGCCTCTTCGGGCCTTCCTGGAGGACCTCTTGGAGGCCTCTTGGGCCGTCCTGGAGGCCTCTTGAGGGCCTCTTGGGCCGTCTTGGGCCATCTTGAGGCTATCTTAGGCCGTCTTGGATGCCTCTTGGACCGTCTTGGAGGCATCTTGGGGCCATCTTAGCCGTCTCGGAGGGCATCTTGGCCGTCTTGGAGGCATCCTGGAGGCCATCTTGGGCCATCTTGGAGCCGTCTGGAACGGAACAACCATTTGCAGCCACCTCTGGAAGATCTTTCGGCATCCTCCCTGGACCCCGGCGGGACGCGCCGGAGCCCACAGGAGCTCAAGTTTTTTTACTCAAACACATAATGCGCGTTATGTGGCCTCCAACCCACCCACCCACCCAGTACATGACATAACGGCCGCCGCCCCACCCACCCTCGTCGCATCAGCGCCTGATGTGTAGCGTATAGTTTCGTATGCTGCTCGTAGTGCGACGACAGCGTGTTTGCAATGTGCGTAGGCATACGCCTGTGGTTCGTAGGGGCGCATCGTGCGCGCAGGTTGTTGTGGGGCCCACACAGGCGCTGCCCGCGCGCTTCGCGCTATTGTGATGCCCACAGGCATATAATGTTGCGCTCGCGGGAACGCCGAGGAGGAGGAGGAGGAACAGGAGGAGGAGGACAGGGGGGGGCGAGGAGGAGGAGGACGAGGAGGACGAGGAGGGGGAGTTTGGGATGCAACGATGACAGTTGATTGGTAACCGGTATCGATTCCTTGACTTTCTGACCTCAGGGCGCCGCTAGGCCCTCCGGGGGCCTGGAACGGAACGATTGGAGTTTGTTTGAATCCGATATCGATTC